TATTGAACTAAAATGGCTATTGCCAAAAATAAGAAAACTAAAAAATCTTAAAACAAGATTAAGCACTAGAAAGGCATTGACAAGAGTGAAGAAGGCTTCATTCTTCTTTCCATTTATGCTCTTAATTAGAAACTATGTGACAATGTCCTATAGGACCTCCAAAACATGTTGACTTTGTAAGACATGTATTTTAACTTACAATGCAAGTTTTCTATATATATGCCACATAATTAACTTATTCTATAAGCTACCAATATGTAATTAACTTATTGACCAAGTTTCTATCCTATCAATCAACTATAAATACATGTAAAGTCAAAGCAGCATCTATGAAGCTTTTATAGAAAATATTATAAAATAAATTTGTTTTCACTTACTTCTACTTGATCATATAGGTAAATATCATAATAAATATGTATGTCTATAATAAAACCTCTATATTAATATTCTATACTTGAGTTATTTAGTGTATGAAGAAATAGGGATAAGTATTATAAGAAAAGTGATTTATTGTGAATGATTTTGACATGAAAGAAGTACCTTAGGTGAGGTAAAATGGAATATGTAGTGAGGTGTCACTTACATAAGGTGTTTGGAGGATTTCAACAATATTCTTTCTTATTCTCTCAATCCAACACCTCATTATATTACAAATGATATTACATTGATTAGCAAAAATAGAAGTTGTACAATGCCTTAGAAGATTTGTTGAAAAATTATTATTAATAAAATATTATTTTTAATTTTACTTATTTAATTTAATTGTGATGGTAACTACCTAATTTATGATTGTTGTTTAACATATGTAGAGCTAATTTTGTTGATCTTATAGCTTCTATTTATTATTTTTCAATGAATTTGCAATACATGATTCTTTAGTATATTCTTCCATCTTTTGAATTTTATGCAACATTATGATCTAATAATTGAAAGCAAGAGTGATCAAGAAACAAAGGATACTATAATAAAGTGTAAATGCAATTACCAATTCTTAATTGAAGCAACTACATCACGGAGACGTTTTCTTTTGTCTTTGATCATAGTAAATTCTTTATGGAATTAGGTTATTTTACCATCAGATGAAGCATCTAAGTTACATAAGGATTCAAGGAATAATAACACTTCTTTGAGATGGAATTTGCAGTTTATTTCAGCAACTTTATCTTATAAAAGATCAATGATGTTTTACATAATTTGTCAAGATTAGGTTTTAAAAATTTATTGATCTTAGTTGGATTGCATTCTTTAAGTGGTTGGCTTTATTAGAGCAAAATATCAACTTTTCAAGACTCTGCAAGGGATAAAATCTTTTCTTAAATTAAGTGAGTTAATTCAATAATAAATTTGTAGAAATTTATTATTATTTTATTTTTCTAAATTTTGGATTCTATACAAAAAAAAGCTCTAAGATTAGAAATTTTATAGGATTAGCTATGATTCTATTTTAAATAAAATGAGAATTAAAAATTAATTTTATAAACACTTTAGCTTATTTATGTTTGGTAGAAATATATGTTATTTAAATACTTCTATTTTTAAAAAAATTTCTTTTATAATAATATTTGCCATATCTTTTATCTTTTTATATTATTATAAAATGTAATCTATTATTTTTAAAATTTGTATTGAATCTTGAATTTTGAAGGCTACAACTTGCATATTAAATATACATGACAAAAATTGTCAAGTTTTGTTCTCTTATACAATGGCTCATAAGGACATTACCTTTGGAACCTGAGGCCTCTAAAACTCAAGGTTTCTAAAATCTTGTACCGAAGGCCTATAGAACCTTGCATTATCTTTTTCATCTCTTCCTATATTAATTCTACATAATAAAATCTCGGCCAATATATTAAATTATAGAGTAGACAATGGTATAATATCACAATGCAAATTCTAAAATTTAAGACATGATATGTAAATCACAATTCAAGTCATAAATAAATTTTTTATTTATATTTTTATTTGACAAGGACTATAATCTATTCTATTTTTTGCATATTATTTCTTTGAATTAATTGAAACTAAACCAAATCAAAGATCTTATCTTCTTCATCATATTTTCAAATCACCTCCCTTTTTTCCTATTCTACATCTAATTTCTTTCTTTCAAATGTTATTTTATCCCTCTCCAATTTCTCCTTTATTTTCAATTTTTTTTATAAAAAAGCCTTAATTCTTTTACTATCTTATTTTAATATAGTCAAGTATTCATTCATTATATTGATTTTCAGCTCTGATGATTGTGTGAATATATTAAACTTTGTATATCATGCCTTTGGAGATTTTCTTTTAAACTTTGAAGCAAGTCACTAACTCTTCTTTTTTGAAGTGATGGTAGTGGTGTTGCCAAGCAATGGACGTCTTACAAAAGTTAATGCTAGAGATAAAAACATGAACTAAAGAGAATTGAAAGAGAGCAAGAAATTATGCTCCTCCTTGCATATCTCCTATAGTTCATTAGATTTGTCTTGCTATGAAGGCTCCTAAGTATCCCTATGTAGCGTTTTCGTGGATAAGAAATTCAAGTTAAGCAACAACAACAATGAATTGGTAATTGATACTACCAAAGAATTATGCAACAATATTAGTGAGATTATATTTCTTATCATCATGAAGTCTTTCTTATAAAGATGGATTATGTTTGGCCTTGTGTAGTACAAAGCATGCAGCTTTTCAAAGAATAGACAAGTGTCTTCTAATTTTGTGGCCATTGTATACATACCTTGCTTTCAATTTTTTTCTTGATGCTAAGACTGGTATCAATTGACCAATCATATGCAATCACAAATTTTGCTTTGAAAGTTTTAGTTGAGCTAGCCCATTGGCAAAAAAAAGGTTAAACTTGCCCTTTGATGCTTTGTTTACCTAAATAGCCAACTACACCAAAGCTCTAGTCATGGTCATTTGCTTCTTACATACCTTTGTCTTGCTAAAATTGTACAACTTTTGGAAATTTATTGAGTCTTTCAACCAACACACAATCATTGCATATTCATTTATTTCAAAATGATTTCTTTTATTATTATTTGTAGGGCTTGAGATCTTCTTCAAAGGCATAAGGAACAACAAAATAAGTTAAAAAGGATGGAAGTAGAATGGTAAGTTGACATGTTAGATTAACTTGTTATCACTAGATATGCTACCAAAATATTAAATGATACTTCATAAAATATTAAAGTTTAAATGGTGATATTTTAAAATTGATAGTTTGAGTAATCCTAAAAATATCAGGTCCTAAATCTCAATTATTTGGATTTACAAAGGCACTATGTTTGAAACCTCCTTATATTTTTCTGTGTTTAAAAAATCTAAACAAGTAAGAAGAGGTCAATACAAAAAATAAATCTAAGACATAATAAATACTGCAATGTAGCCATTTCTTAAGACAATATCAAGTTGTGTTAAGAAAGATATTTTGATCATAAAAATATAAATGGTATAGCTTATAAATAGAAATATTAATACTATCATAATGATATAGCTATTATAAATTCAAGGAGATAAGACTATTTATGCTATGTAAGAAAAATAGATATTTTTTGTAGTGGAATTTTGGTTGATTTTTTTAAGTGTAAAGGCAAATATATATATATATATATATATATATATATATCTAGATATATATTTATTTATTTAAAATTTTATAAATGTAATTGAAAGCAAAACATTACATAAGAGGTATTTAAGAACATATTGTTTTGAGAAATATTATCTATAAAATGATCAAACCATTGCATCTTCAAAATAGTACTTTTATAGTTTTTTATATATTAAAATAAATCAATGCTTTATAAAATTTTATCTAAAGGATTTCTAGGCATGGAAGGGAAGGAAAGAGGCCATAATTTTCTAATATTTTGATTTTAAAAAAACTTAAAAGGTATAAAACATATCTTCTAATAATTTTTTACTTTTGTCCTTTATAATTCTAAATCAAAATATTAACATTAGTTTAATTTTTTACAGAAAAATAAAATAATAATAATAATACAAAATTTTTAATAAAAATAAATATATTGAACTTCAAATAATGTTTTTAATGTGAAAGATTTTTATTTTAAGAACTAAATAATGTGATATTTTTTTAATAAAAAAATTACAACCAAATTTTAATTCAAAGAATCCATAATTTTTAAAAGTATATAATCAATCTTATTTTTAAAATATCATGTTATTTAGCAAAAAAATCAATACAAGAAAATTAATTTTTTTATGAAATTTTAATTATAGGAAAGTTTATTTTAAAAAAAAAACTTAATAAGTTTTTTGCACATTTTGATGTTACACATGTATTATATTATTATATTCGGATTGCGCATTTAAAAATAATTTTTACTTTTTTGGAAATATTAGAAGTGAATTTTGTATGTGTTAAATTTTATCTAAGATTTACTGATTAAAAAAATAAAAAAATAAATAAAAATCAAAAGCAAAAGCACGGTCAATTATCTTATTTTTCCATAAAGGCGATTCTGAGAAGTTATGATTGAAGAACATTACAAAGATGTCCTTCTTGACAAAAAAAATTCTCTTCTAAAAACTTTAGTCTTTTGAGCTATTATAAAACAAAAAAAAAACTATAATATAATCAAAAGTATTTTTATTATAATTCTAATGACAGAAACTTGTACTTTAATTATTCCAATCTTGATATTTTTTTTAATATTATTTTCTATTGACATTGTTAAAGATTTATGACACATCTTTTGGAGTTTTGGTCAAAACAACCACTTAAAGAGGGTCCAATACAAATTTTAGGAAATAACACTATTCATACCTCATGTAGAAAAAAACTGATTATATCTCATCTTTTCCTCTTAAAACCTTTTAGTTGATTTAAAGCTTAAAAGTTTTGCCTGTTACAAGCTTTGAAAGTTGTAACTTTTCCACTTCTCCTCTAAGCTCTCCTCTAAGCACAAAGACTCCCTAAATTAATTTTCAAAATGGTTTTCTATACTTCGTGAAACCAAACTGAATGCTACATTGTGACAAAATACAACATTCAATGCTTGTCATGTATTACATACAAATTGTTTTGTTTTGTTTTTTTTGTTTTTGGAACATAAGGGTGAACTCCTTTAATAAACAAATGTATATATCTTAATATGCTTCCGTAGGTCTTAAAGCCTGTTTCTCAAGTTCTTTACTGATTTATATTTGGAATATAAACTTCTAGTCCCTGAAGCGTCAAATCCGCTGCTCTCAGGCCCCCATGAGACTGAAAAACATGCTTCTCCTTGCGACAGAGTTGCCCGCTGTCGGCAAATCGTCCAACTCGGCTACTATATCAAACCCAGGTGCTGAACTACTTCTTCTTCCGCTTCTACTCGAAGAAACTGATGTGTCTATTGTTCGTAAAACACATGTACGTGACGAGGACGATGAAGAAGTCATCGGAGGAGATAACGGTGCTGGTATTCCCAACAACTCTGCATCACAACATAAGAACGAAGAATTGCTCTAGAGTATTGTGTAATCAGATATGTGCTAATATTCACTGAAAAATCAAACGAACATGGATGTTAAAAATTCGCCAAACTTATCTTCTGATGAAATCAAGAGTATGTGCTCTGTTAAACAAAACTTACCAGGCCCATTTTGATCACCTTGAATGTAAAACCCGTGCATTTCTTGCTTTGCCTTCTCATTCGTGTCGCTGATTGTCTCAACATTGTTTCCACATTTACCGTCCTCAGAGATCTGAAGTCAAATGTCAAAAAAAGAAAATCTAATGTCATGAGGGAGGCGTTGCTGACTACAGCTAAAGTCGCGTTTATCCACAAAAATACACATTTTCTCTAATGACCATCGATTCGGCAACTCCGTAAGTAAGAAGAATGTAAAAATACCTTTTTTAATCTGTAATTACTAATCTCAGGCTTAAAAGTGCATTCTGCCATCTCTAGGTCTTGCCTTTCCTTCCTCCATACCTCCACTTTCTGATGTCTCTTATCAAATTCCTCAATTATTATTTTGACCCATTCATGATGTGTCCTGCCATGAATACAGAACTGCAGTCATGTTGAGCATAGAGGCACAGAATGACACAAAAGACATTAAGGTATATTTTCAGCTTAATGTATGTATGCAGCACATACTCAACCTTCCCAGGTCCAAATTACAAGGCATCGTTACGAGCTGTAAAACTCTACAAAGGTAGCAGCAATTACGATGCATGAAACAAGGTAGTAAGAGGAAGCAAGACAAATAATTCCAATTCTTACCTCTACTTCAATCGGACTTTGATGCTCACCTATATTTCCGCCTCCTAGTCGCAAGATTTCGGGAAAGCTGGTCCATCTCTGAGTGGAAGGGGAAGTTATATTGATCAGGATTAAGCTTGTGTTTCAGGCATTGATGTACTTGTTGGCCACAATTATATTTACTCTGCGGAAAACTCAATGGCAGGCATCTTGAATCAACAACTGATCCAATCAGTGCCCCGCAGTTGCAAATTTTCATAATTTATCAGTCGCCATATGCAGTAAACCAATTTAAATGAGTTTCAGAGAAGCTTGTAAGTAGAAACTAGAGCCTGAAGATAATATTAAAAAGAAAGCAAGGATTATACCTCAGCAACAAGCATGAGTTTTACAAATTTCTCAAAGTCTAGTATCTTTTCTTCTCCCCCATTGCCTCCTTCCGTATTCCTCATTCGAGTAAGTTCATCTATTACATCCTCGTTTAAGCGATCGAAATTGGCGGTGGTAAGGTCCACGTAGCCGTCCTGGACAGGGTTGCAATCAAAAGTGGTAAGAGCATCAGTGATGTTAACAAAAGGGCTGAGAGAGTCCAGGGAACTAGAATCAACTCTGAAAGAGTCATCTTTACATTTGTTGGTAATATCTACATTTTCTTGACTACGTAATCAAGCATAGAAAATTATACAGCTGAAAATCGATCAGGGGAAAACCTTGTCTTCATCCAGGAAATCAAAGACCTGCTTGAAACCACGCTCTTTTATACGCTGAATCAGCTTCTGAGACTTTGGTCCAACATACCGGCATAGAGCTCTTTCTTTCTTCATTTTGTAATCTCTAGCAGCTAAAATCCTGATTTTTCTGTCAAAAGCAAATTTCATCCTATACAGGTATTCTCCAATAGGCAAGTGTCCAAGGTTTCTCTGCATGTAATTTTCAATAGGAACAGCGTTCAAATAAAAATAATACTGCTCCGTTCGCATGTCAACCTAAACTATGTCCTGGAACCAGAAATCAACTCCAGAGAAACATTCTGTATGCAAGAAAGTGGAAATCGAAAAGATAGCGTACATTTTGCGGCTTGCGGCCAGTGATAGGCGTATATAGAGCTCTACCAGTACGTGGATCAAGTGGTCTATGTGCCATTTGCTCTAGCAATTGCTTCTTCTCCATCAACACCGCAGCATTGTCCAGAAGTCTTCGAAAGACAGATTGCTCGAACTGCCAATCCTCTTCCATCATTGCCCAATACGGCAGATACCTGTTGATAGTTGGCTGGAAAGTCACCCTGCCAAGCCATTTTCGGCCTTTTCAGCAAACTAAACCTCGTCTGCCAGTTCATCATAATACAAAAACCACGAAGAATACAGGAGCAGACCACTGCAAAACTTAGTTTGAAAATACAATAAGAAAATATAAGTGAGGAATAATACGGAACAAACACAAACTAGAAGAGATGGCTAACCCTTCAGGAAATGATTCCATGTATTCTGCTCGACGACGTCTACGGTTCTCAGCGTCTAGAAAAAGCTGTTCAAAGCGATCACTATAGTTTGCATCACCAAATTGCTGGGGTTGATCGTCGTACTTCTTTTGTGAATTAATACGTGGTTTGAAAGTGCACTCCGTTAGCTTCTCCTTCCACACCTGAAGCACCAACCCACAAACTCTAGCCTCATCAACGAAAACCCTGTTGGAAAGAATTCTGAATTTCAAATCCTTGCAAGGAGTTAGAGATTACGTGCAGAAAGAGCTACCTCTTGTCGAAGCTCTTGCAGTTGGTCTTGCTTTGGTTTGTCATCGTATTGAAGCCTACTCCAAACATGACCTTCAGCTCTTTTTATGTTTTTGGCCCTTTCGCTTCACAGCTCAAACATATAAGGACGAATAAGATTTTGAGATATAGATAGCGACGGGGACAAGTTTGACAGTGGTCTCACATCTTGCGGCCGAAGCTGCCAACTAGCTACAAGAGTTGCTAGCTCGCATGGAACTACAGAGATATTACAGACCTGATCTTAGGCTTCAACGTGACTCCATCCAGCTCCTTTGCCTCATCTTGCTTTTGCTTGTCAGCCACGGCCTTCATGTGTTTCTGCCTCATATTGAGACCCTCAGCATACAACAACTCTCCATAATTCTTGTATTGTTTAGCTATCATTCCACGCATTCGCGTCAATCTACAAGTTCTCTGATTCAAGACGACCATGACTGGGATAAGTGGGAATAAACCTCCTCTCTCAACACATCTTCTTCCATTATTTCATTCGCTCCTAAAGATACAGAACTGCACCTGGATAAAGTATTAATCAAGAGCACATGACAAGTGTGATGCATTGTACTTACCTTAGAAAGACCCATCCTCCTTCTCACAACATTCTCCTGGTACATGGCCCTGCTGCGTTTCACTTCCTCCCTCGATCTTTGCTCATGTCTTGTATGTTCGGTGTAGAGACGCATATACACAGCTTGCTGTTGAGCACCCTTATAGAATATTCTTAAAGTTGGAACTTTCTTTTTTCGGTAAAAGATAATCTCTAGTGTAAATATCAGTTTAACTTCAATTGACCCCCGGCAAATTGATACTTAGCTGATTCAAGCTTACAAAAAGCTTACCATCATTTCAGAGGGAGGCCGAGGGTGACAGATTCTCGGTCTGCATTCCCTTACAGGTACTCCACATTTGGCTAAGCTTGTGATCGTAGGAGCCAGTAATCGCTCCGATATTTTCTTCCTATGTTTTTTGCGCCTTGTTTCCTTTCGTGCTTTAATCCCTTCAACGTCGCGGGGTATACAACGTTGGTAACTACCGTGGTCTCTGTTTGTTTTCTGCGACGCCATGAATGGCCGATCTATACTTCGATGTTCACGTCTTGCCAGTAGAGCGCTCGTTTCTGCTTTCACAGGCTTACCTCCGAAATCTTGGGCCTTGGGCAAAGAATCGACTACATTGGATCCGTGCGTCTCAGAGCTGTACGGAGCATCACTGTGCACAGCTGAATTCTCGTCGTTTGAAATGTGGGAATCTCCTTGAGATTGGAACAAAATATCCCCTTCTTCCTTGCTACAAATTCAAAATTGTGTAAAGTCGATTCAACCATACCGAGGTGAATTGAAATATAAGATGAGACTTTCGACCTCAAGGACATCAATAACAAGCTTCAATACGTTTAATACCTAGGAACCACATACCTTATACTGATGATGTTACTGACAATATGCTCCGTGAGCGGTGCTACAAATTGTTCTGGAAGAGCGTGATCTCGACAGAATTTCATTGCCGTTGCTTCCGCAGAATCGCCTTCTTTCAACTGGATATGCTCCACACATCCGTCCTCGATCTCCACAGTAATAGCCAGAAGAACCCTTCGATCATTGGAAAGATTATCTGTAGCAAGATTAGAAACGAGAAAGCGCATCAGTGGCTGACGTACTTGACCTAATTACAATCTAAATTGATCGTTCTCGATCATCGTAAGAACAGCGCCTACAAATGCAGAAAGGGAATGCAATACCCGGGTTTAATTTTGGCTCCTTGGAAGCTGTATTGCTCTTAAATGTTCCCTGCGTAATTTTCACGCCCAAAACATTCACAAATTAAAAACGCCACTTCACTAAAATAATGTCACAGAAGTAATCATCCGCGTGAGAACACGTGCAGACTATGGTCCGCGACAAACCTGACTTACTTGGGAAGTGCTGCCGCTTTCGATGGGCTCACAATTCTCATACAGCTGATCCGAATCATTCTTAGAATCACTAGACAACTTTTTCCGCGACTGCGACATTTGTTTTTGCTCAACAATCAGAACTAAGTAGCCACTTGCAAGTATCTCTCGTTGCAGGTTCAGAGAATAACTCGATAGACCTTTGACTTAGTTGAATAGAGCCCATGTTTTGCTTGCATTCATTAACGAGCTGCAGTGATTTGAAATTTTTATTTAGGAAAATGTCGACATGTGCAAGTTCTCGTGTACACATGTTTTTACACAAACTCACAAGAAATTGATACGCACTGTCTAATGCAGTAATACATAAGAAACATGGCTGAAGACTCTTCACCGACCCATTACTACTGATTGTTAAATACAACCGATCGTAGATTGACAACATATCATGCTCTGTCAGGGATGGGTGTAAAGGTTCGTAAGTGACTCACTGCGGTAGTAATTTCGAATTTCAACAGCAGTTTCGATAAAGTCAAAACGCCCTCCTTCGCTCTGCCTCTCACGCTCTTGGAGAGGTTTCAAAACAATATCAAGTCGAATTTCAAAATTCTCCTGCTCTGCAGAAAACTCATCAGAAATGCGTCAGGAGGTCTGGCGCTGTCTTTTGAAAAGGAATGCTTAAGGAATATACCAGGAGGGCATACTAATGACGTCTGAAAAGCAAGCCAAAAGCTACCAAGGGCAGAAAAGCACCCTACACTTACAAGCACAGAAACTTGTGATATGGTAACATACCCATGACCATCGCAAGAGAAATCCTGATCAGATTCTTTACACGAGAAAAGATAATACACGTTCAGAAGCTAATCCAAAAGGGAAAGATTCACAATGTCCACAAGTGAGTTCAGCAGATTTGAGAAAGTTGGGCACACTAGAGATTGCGCGGAAATTGGACTAGAACCAACCGATAGTCTCACGTCCCCTTGACAAATGTTCATGAAAATGTAACTGATTATCCGGTACTCTCCGATTGTCTCCAATCCTCTCAGAATCGTGGACAGGAAACCACAGGAAAATGAGATGTGCGTTTACAGAATGGCGTGAAGTTTATATCTTTCGTCGACTGATGCATCCGAGCTGCATCTATAAGACTTCAGTCGGTAATAGATCAGCACCGTAATCGCGTTAGGGCTCGCTGTGCACAAGCGGATGATTGAGAAAGAACGCGCATACCAGAGTACGAATGGGGTTCTGTTCACATTCGAGTCAGGATGAGCTTCGACCGTTCTCATGGCTGTAGGCATTCTACACGCCAATACGGATGAGCACTCTCTCGGTGGGCAGGCCCAAGAGGGTGTCTTCTTCCAGAACCTCGAATATGGTATCATCTCCGATAACGAAGTGTTTGGTGCCGTCCCATGCTGCTCGAGCTACAAGCTCTTGAACTCTTGAGGTGTGTCGCTCAAGCCGAAGAATTCCTGCACCAGTGTGTTGGGGTCAACGGCCTGGCCCATCTTGGTCGAATCGTGCCAGAAGGCAAGCAACATCCACATGATTGCGTTCACAAGGATCGCCTTCGCGAATTCCAACAACTAGTTTTCTTCCACGGCTTCAAAAGAAGCGGACTCGACATCCTCGATATAGCCGATTTCTTAACCCTCCTTCAATTCAAGGTTCACTTGGACTTCACAAAATTTCCTTTCGAAGCTGCCGCTGGGAGTGTCAGACTCTACAATAATCGGCAGCTCCAGTATGCTCTTCGACACCTCATGCTGCTCCACAAGCTGCTGCACCTCAGCCAATTCATCGTCGGATGCATCAACGCCTTAAACTCAAATGCTTTCCTTCGCGCATTGCAAGGTAATGTGAATGATACCATGAAGGACAAGTAGATCCATCTTCTTCCAAATCTCTGTTAAGAGTGCTCACCTTCGCATCGAACTAAGAGCCGGCGACGACGGCAAGGAGGGGGCTCCAGAACTTTTCTCACATCAGAAGACTCGGCCTACAAGCAACAGGGATCCTCATCGTAATCTCTCCACAAGAGTTTGGTGGATTTATGATAGCGTGATCAAAATTTTCTAAGAGCACATCAATAACAGTACCAAGCATTGAAAACTAGTTCAAACTGGAAGAGGAACGACTTGCACAACTTCTACAATTTTGTAGAAATTGCAAAAATATCACAATTAACTGCTCTCGGGACAAATTCGATAAAATTAGGCTGGCGAGTCCTATCCAACGACATAAGTTATTTTGATAGATAGAATTTAGCATTTTGGGTACATCGTGATGAGTTTGGGATCCAAAAATTTATCGACGTGTGTTTGAGATCGGCGCTATTCAGATGCTACATGCAGGGAGACAAGTGCGGAACTCTCACCGCCATCATCGGAGCTACAGTTCAGAGTTTATCACTGCCATCGCCATTGCTTCCTCTATCAATATATAAAGGTCGCCAATATTTATTTATTTATTTATTTTTTTGTTTAACTGCTATTGATGTTGAGATAATTGATTTAAATTTTTATCTCTGCTTTTAGCAAAGTCGTTCAAAAGCAGAGACTTCATTATTCAAAGTTTACGTATTAAAAGTAATACCATCAAAAATTGTTTTGCTACTAATACCAAAAACTGAATACAAAAGTTTTTGTAAATTTTTAATGTTCAAAAGATCTATATGTTTACATAAAAAACTATCACGCGTACATTCTCCAATTATTTGGATTTGGAGTTCTCTAAGATTCAGAATGTAACTTCAAATAATTCTGGAAGCTTTGGATAAAATATCGCGTGATCTTAATAATATATATATATATATATATATAAGGAGAAGTGTATAAGATCTCCTAGATGACCTCAAAGATAATATTAAAAAAAAAAAAAAAAAAAAAAAAAAACACGCACACACACACACCACACACCTATCTTATTTGAGAATGTGTGCTAGCATATCCACTCGTGTCTATTATTGTCTTTGACAGAGAAATTTCAAGTTTTTATTTATTTATCATTTAAACGAATAACATAAAACTATTTTTCTAAGATTTCACAAAAATATTATAATTTTTTTCTTACTTCATGTTAGACTATTTACTCATTTACTTATATATATATTAATACACAAGCATTAAAACAATTTTGAAACGGAGAAGGAAGAGAGGCAGTAGTAAGTCATCAGGTCAGGAATGGGAGTCTCGGCCGGGGCTGGGCAGGGCCGGCCCGGCCCAGGTGCCCAGCCAGCCAGCAAGGCACCGAGGTAGGGCAACCCGTTCTTCTGCCTGCTTCCCTCCCTCCCTCCCTCCCTCCGTCGCTCCCTTTGTGCGTGTGTGTGTATTTGTGTGTGAGAGAGAGAGAGAAAGTGTTCTTCTGTCGCTGGCTCGTCTTGCGTGCAGGTGTGAGCTTGTCCCGGTTTCCAACTCGTCACTGTAAACCTCACGTCCTTCGAGGCCTCTCAGTTTGAGTTTGAGGCTGCGCGCTTGTCTTGGTTGCGCCTTCTCCGTGCTCCCAATTTTCGCCATCAAGTTATCGGAGGTTTTTCTCATGCAGTGCAGACGGAGGACAGAAGAGTGAGGGAGAATGAGGGAGAGAGATAGATGAATATGATCAGGTAGCGCGTCTGCATGGATGTCGACCGTCGTTACCGAAAATGGCGTGGTGTAGAGTGCTCGGCATTGCGACCTGGTTGTGCTGCATCATCCCTGCTGCAATGTAGCCATGGCGATGTTGCTCTCGTGCAAGCCGGTATGTATTCGCTGTTCACCTGAACCCGTGACTTGGCATAGGACAGAATGCTCCCGAGTATTGGTGGTTGGGGATGTCGGAAGTGGCGGAGAGCAGCATTTTGATCGTCTCTTTTGTTTTTGGGCTTCTGTGCATGTTTTGAGGCGGGTGGAGAGTACGAGTTGTTTATGGTTTCAGGTCAGGATGGTCTAGTTTTTTAGGGCTATAAATGCAACGATTTCGGTTTTCGGAATAAAATAAAATAAAATAAAATAAATCCTGATTTGGGACGAGTAGTGGCGTTTGTGATTAGAAATGTGTTAGGTTTAAAAAGTGGAGGTGTTTTGAGGTGACGTAGAAGTCGCATTGTACCGTGGCGAGGTCCAGAAAACAGTGTTGATGGAGCATCCTTGAAGTCTTCTGGTTCTTTGCATTTATTCTTTTTTTAGCTGGTGGCATGTTCATGGGCTTTGATTGCTGCATTATCGGTGGCGAATGGTGAAGAGAAGTGTGCACAAAGCAATTGTTTTATCGCGTGAGCATTATGAGTGTGAGACCTCGACTAGGTTCAAATGTTTTTGTGGGCATGGAGAGTTGGTTATCCAATGCGTCCATTTTTTTCTTTCCGATTTGGTGATTTAAATGGGGCTTCAAGGTGAGGGGATGGTGAGAGACGTGTCTTAGGTGTTAATTACGTGTTTGTAGCGATGCTGGCTTGCTGTAAATATGTTTTTGGTTTCAATATGTGACGGGGTTGTAGGAGATCCCTTTCCTTCGAACAGAATGTGTTTTTCGTTTACTCTTGCATCCTTGTAAGAACGCTCCTGCGTCTTGGTAGAGGCCAAGCGCTTCTCTCTTGCAGTTTGGATAATCAGAAGACACCATGGCATAAACCTGAGGATTGTCAGTATTAGTTTTCCCTTCTCTTTGGCTCTCACAGTTACTGCTGAGGAGGTTGAAGAAACGCCTGTCGGTCTGAGTTCCTCTGGGAAGGTTCTGTGTAGGTTCTAGGCAGTAGATTCGCAGGTTGATCCTTTGAGTTTGTTTCGTTGCAGTACATGGTGTATGCATCGGCTTCATGAATTTGAAGAGACACTGTCGTTTTCTTTATTTGACCTAAATTTTTTTATTTCAGGAGCTGGAATTACTGGGTGTAAAACAGACCTCCAACTAAGCAAATGTCAATGAACTTAATAGTGTCATTTTGAGTGTATTGTTTTTGTAGTCAAATGAGGAGCAGGTGGCTTGCTGGTGTTATTGGAATTCTATTCAGAGAGATAATTGAAATGAAGACTCTTCAGATGACAAGTTAAAGCTCCTCGTCTACCGGGCGGGGCGTAGACCGTGAGCCGTTTGTGTGCTCACACCAGTGGAGTAACAATGGCAGACACCGTCGGTATCATCTTAGAATACTTGCACCGGCACCACTTCCTCAGGGCTGAGGCAGTTCTGAGGGAAGAGGTCAGCCTTCGGCAGCGGTCCAATGGTCCAGCCCTTATTCCAGTGAACGATGACCTGGACCTTGATTTAGCTGTATACCTCAGGTCTACGCAAGAAAAAACAAAACAAAAGCAGACTGAATTGGAAGCGGTGCCTAATCAACCAGCGCAGGATAAATTGGTGACAGACGTAAAGCCTTCTCCAGCGTTGAGGCTATCGGTCACGGAGGACCCCGGAGGTCAGGTGGAACCACTTCGACCATCGACGAAGGTGGAGGTTTCCGAACCGTTGTTTGTTGAGTTTAAGGTGGAGGAGCTAGAATGTCCCACAAAGCCACAGTCCGTGCTTGTTGTTGGGAACTCAGCATCACAAGATTCTCTCTCTTCCATCTCCCAGGAGAAGATGGTTGAGAGAATGAGGTCTCCGGTAAGTGTAGTAAGTTTGCCTGTTGCGCGTAGTATTGTCATATCTTCCTTATTTCCTGGAAGTATGAGAAATTATGGTGTTCTTCACATCTTTTATTAGGAGCAGGTCTTAGAAGGCTGAATCATAACATCCCCGACGAAGCATCTCGTGTACAAGTTGGATCGAAGGAAAAGAGCAACTACCAGGAAGCGTTAGTTGTACATGGAACTGCTTTTATCGCCTTTTCGATACTTCACGGTCGTAGTTTCAAGCAAAAGATTAGTGTTATGAGTCAAGGTTTGCAATCCTGCCATAATAACAATCCTGCCATTTTCACTACAGGGTAGAATAGGAGGTTTGAGTGCTCTTCAGACTGAGGCAGAGATGGCGGTCTCTTCGTCTATCGAGAAGGTATTTTCTGATCGAAAGAAGGCAGGATCAAGCAATGCGGGGTTAGAGAAAGCTTCAGGTTCTAATATTGGGGGAGCATTTGTTCTAGCAAGCCAAGTGGAGAAGTTGCCACCTAATCAGCAAATAGATTCCCCACAAGCACTGTTTGAGGCAACCCGAGGGAAAGTAGATGCTCTGAAACAGGTGGGGTGCTCTTGTAGAAGGGAACCGTGATTTTGTTGAGGTTTGGGCCTTTTTAAAGTGTCTGGTGTTGGATGAAACACCTAGGACAAATTACTTCTCTTAAAAAGATTGAGAGTGAGCGAGCGACAGTGAGAGATTGAGTAACGCGTTCTTTTTATAGGCATTATCTTGTCAATTCAAGTATCTTCGGTTGAGTTATCTGCGGTTATTTTCTTTTCTTGGTGAGCTGATTCTGCATGAAGATGTGAAAAGTCCATCCCTGTTGTGACATGCCGTTTTGTCTTAAATGCCCTTCGACGTAGTGTTATTAAAGTGTGACAGATAGTTAGTGATCCCCTCCTCGGAACTGGTATTTGGAGTAGAGTTTTTTGAGAGCAGGCGGGCGTGTGCATACATTTCTGTAGTAAAAAGGTCCTGTGTTTGTGTTGTTTGATCAGTCTTGGGCTTTATGTGGAAAGCAGATGCTGACAAAGATCATATCTGTCCACAGAGGTGGGAGCCTAAGACTGCTGACAAGCCCGCTTTTGAACGAGAGAAAAGCTTTCGAGCTCTAGCGGCAATGGCAAAAACAGTGGAAAGCCTATCAGATAAACGGGTAAACATTATGTTCCTGGAGACCTGCATTCTACTACAGGTTACATGTGGGTGTGGTTTGGAAGATGAGATACACGGTTACAAACTGGGTGGTTATTGAGTAATGAGGGTTGTATCCAGGAGGGTTTGCATCAGTTTTCCGATATCATGAAATTTTCATCCCGACCTTTTCCTTGTTTCGGAGATTCGTCTTCACCAGTAAATGTGGTCCATTTGCACCCTAGGTTCTAGTTAGTTGCTAGATTTTCTGATAACTCTCTTTTCTGATAACTCTCTTGCTTTGTTCACTGTTCTCTGTCTCTCTTCTCTTTCTATTTTGACCCACAGCTAGCAGGATTTATAGCATCTATGTAGGCCTCCTAGCTCGTTCGCCAGTGCAACAATTGGTGTTCTTTTCCGATGTATCAACGGTGATGTTGCTTGCAGACTGACAGCAATGGGCGAGCCGCAGCTGCCCAAGTTTCTGCGGATTTTCATTCGGAATCCACAATTGATGTGCAGTTGACGCCTAGGGATAAGAATAGTGAGAATGTAGTGCCCCTCATCAATACAAAAGCAGACGTTACTGGCGCTGGGAATACGGACTTCACCGTGCTTAAAAGTCCAGAGTGGGCAGATGTTCCTATTAAGAACATTCCACCCAGTAAGACAAGCGCCTCGCTTACTGTGGATTCGAAGAAGATTTTCGAGGAGAGAGGGAAGGAAACTGTCTCTGTAATCCCTTCTCGCTCACATCATGAGCGGGTTCAAATGGGGCCAGAGCAGGAGTTTGTACTCCTAGCTTCTGATAAACAAGACGGTGGTTCCCAGTATGCCGATGTTTTGCTGGATGAGTTGAGGAAACGTACTATATTAGAGCAATCAACAGTTGAAGAGACGATCTCGGCAGTAGTAGATCGGAAATCAAAATGTGTGGCCCCTAAATCAGTTCAGGAAGATCTTCCTAAACTTGCACCTGTTCGGTCGCGTTCAATTGATGCCAAGACTCCGGAAGCAGCACAGGATGAATATGGTAAAGGAGCGAAGAAGAGTGTTGAATCTTTGTTACCTGTCAATATTGCTAACACTGTGAACGCTATTCCCTTTGGATTGGGGTCGTATCTTGATGTTCGTGTAGGGCAGGACGCCTGCTCATCAGGTACGCGTTGAGTATTTCTGGGCTAGTGTCTTTCTTCATCAGATTTTATTCAATCACGGTCATCTGCTCATTTGATGTTGGACATGCAGTCTGTTGTTGGGCTGTCCTAGAGTGGTAGCTTTCTTGAAATTGTTTCTTCAGAAGCGTTACGTGCAGGCTAATGTCGGAAGGGTTATATTGATTTTTAATGCACGGCTTCCCACTACTAGTGTACGTAATTGTATGGTCTCGCCGCATGCCTGCGTCTGCACGGCCTTCAGTGAGTCATGGCATTGTAGAGGACCAGTCTGAGCTCCTTTCTGGGTTTGCAACAGCAGGAGATGAACAGAGTGAATCTGCAGTGGAATGCGCGGATGAATACTGGAATTCTGATACGTACGAGGATGATGATGATCCCGGTTATCATAGGCAACCAATCGAGGACGAGGAGTGGTTCCTTGCACATGAGATTGATTATCCAAGCGATAATGAGCGAGCTCGTCCTAACGAAGAAGCCGCACGTAGCTCTCGACGTGAGAAGGATTATGAGAAGTATGAGAAGGATGAGGATGAAGATTGTTCCATCCTGGAAGAAGAGGCAAGTGCAAACCCCGTTATTTTAGTTTTGAGTTCATGTGTTAAGTTTTTGGGCAGATGTTGAAATCATATCATACAAACTTGTGGCCTGTTGAGTGGTTCTAAGGTTGTCATGCCAAGGGCTTTAGGAACCGTGCGAAGCCTTTTGGTGTTGTGCACGTAGTAGTAACTAAGGGGATCTGTCAAGGGTAAAGGTTTGATTAACATGAGTGTACATTTCAGGTGTTTTAAGGATGTGTATGTCCCTTGGTGCTTTTGGAGTCCTGTTTGTCGGAACCAGTCTCGTCAGTAATCAATTGATGTTCTCGTGTCCTTTAGGGCACAGGATGAATTGATAAACATTATGGCCATCTTGACTAAGGATATAAACGTCTCTCTGTTTAGTCGTACTACTTTTCTGGGAGGAGTCTCTTGCCTATTGCATCAAGGCAGAGATAATAGAGTTGAAAACTCCAGTAGAAGTAAACAAGTTTCAGATGAGTGAGGTATTTGATCGCGTGGATGTTGGAGATGATGTTGAAATTAATGACCAGGTATTATCACATCCTTTCTCTGCAGGTTAAACAGCTGTAGAGTCCGAATGTGTAGGACTGGGTAACTTTGTACTTGTGCAGAAGGAACCAACCTGGGTGTAGACCGTCTTGAAACACATTCACCAATCGGGGTGGTTGTGGGTGTTGTTAAACTTTCCTATCTATTTAGGTACTGAAGCTGAAGAATTCGGTTGAGAAAGGTTGTAGTCGGATTTCGCACACTGGATCGTGTGAGGTCAGGTTAGGCTTTCAGGAGCCGAGCCATTGGCTTTGTCCACGACGATATATCACTCCATATCAAGGACAGGTTGAGTGCGTGTAGTGTACCTGCTGGCCGAGCTAAATAGCCTTCTTCGAGGGAATATGTACCCCCAAGTTTATTATTATTACATGCAGGGAATTTGACTTGTTTTTCAAGGAGTAAACTGCTCAGCACTAGACCTGCGTGACATTTGATCTTATGTCTCGTAATTATCTTTATGAATTCAGGTTGTCAATGGCTCGCGCATCCTTGACCCAGGACAGGTGAATAGAAAACTGGTTGGTGTTTCTTTGAAGAGCAGTGAGATAAGGTGGCAAAGTTTTGATGCTTCCAAGGGAACTCAGTCAGTAGACGGAGGCAACAAGAAACCTGATCATGGAAGAGCTGTTCTAGACACTGACATCTTTGAAGTGGAGGATGACAGAGTGGGTTCAGTGCGGTTTGGTGGTGTAGGTGTGAGTAGTGATGTTGCAGAATTTGGTAGTGAAAGACGCGATAGCGTGCGAGATGGAAGCAGCGAAGGAGATTTAGATGTAGGAGAGATCGTTGACCGCAGCATGGGACAAACTAGTGTATCATCTCAGGTGGGGAGTAGCGGCGGAGGAAAAGCGCATGAATCTGATAGTAGTCGGAAGCAGGACGAAGAGGAAGAAGACCTGATTCTGAAATACTACAACAATCCATGGGCAAGTCACAAACGCCGTGGAGTTGAGCGGGAAGTCACGACCGTGGATAATCTACAGATAACGAACAGAGAACATGAGAAATTCAGTGTGGTTAAGGTTAGCAGCACTGATGATAGTGAAGGTCGTTGGCCCAAAGAGTCCGAGACAGCTGGTGCGACGGGGTTCGGTGGATTTTCATTTCCTTCCCCTTCCACCAGTGGAGGGGACATTGGAGCCGTTTCTAGAGTAGACTCAGGGAAGTCGATGTGGTCGGTAAGAGACATCACTGGCCAGGAGTTTGGTGAAGAAGTGGAGTATGAGAATGGCGTGTCTGAGCCGGATGATCCCTTAGCTTCTTGGAGGCGCAAGAGCAACGGATCCTCGCCCATGCTGAGTCCCCGTAATGATGGCCAACGAGATCTGTCCGTGCGGTCCACTCGATCAGCGAGCTCAACGGCTGGGTATGGCAGCGCAGTTGCGAAGGTGACATAATTTATCTCTTGAATTACTGGTATTCATCACATGTGTGGTGAAACTATGATCAGTTTGAACAGCTGAGAATTGGTGTTAGCTAGTGGGTCATCTAGGACCATTTTAACGACCTTCGTATTATCTTGAGCATCAGTAAGACATCTTCTCAACGTAAAGTTCTTTCTTATTGTTACGGTGCTGGTGCAGGGTGACGATACTGGAGAAGGTGATGACGAAGTAGAGCTGGACGGAGAGGACGAAGATACGTTAGAGGTGAAACTTAGAGATGCTGAGGCTGTAGCAGCCGAGGACGAAGAAGACGCAGCAGTACAAGAGCATACTCGAAGAATACGAGCAGAAGAAGAAGAGTTTGAGACATTCGATTTGAAGATCATTCATCGAAAGAACAGGTACTATTGCCAAGTTGATGGATTTTGTTGAATCCCGTTCGTGTTCTTAGATGGAAACTGCCAGTTGAAGTTTGTTTCTTGCATGAATCCCTATGCTTGCTACCTTTGCCAAATGAAAACGTGGCGCAGACTTTTGACGAGGTTTTAAGGGCACTTTTCTGTACTCTACTGGATTTTTTTAGCTAGTCGTTGTTTCAGTTCACATAATGCCGAGTGCCTGGATTTGCAGGACTGGGTTTGAGGAAGACAAAGACTTTCCAGTTGTAATTAATGCAGTTGTTGCTGGTCGCTATCATGTGACGGAGTATCTGGGTTCTGCTGCCTTCAGCAAAGCCATTCAGGCTCACGACCTGCATACCGGAATGGATGTGTGTATGAAGATCATCAAGAATAACAAAGACTTCTTTGACCAGAGTCTAGATGAAATCAAGCTTCTCAAGTACATTAATAAGCACGACCCGGGTGATAAACACCATCTGTTGCGACTGTACGATTACTTTTACCACAAGGTAATCACAGTGGCTTTTGTGCTACATGTTGATGAATCATACGAACTACGTTATACTGCAGCATATGTGTGCTTTTTCTTTCTCCTCGTACTGACTAAGGCTAGATATTGGTGGTGGCGATTTCAGGAGCATTTGTTCATAGTTTGTGAGTTACTTCGAGCTAATTTGTACGAGTTCCACAAATACAACAGAGAATCAGGTGGTGAGGTGTACTTTACGATGCCCCGTCTTCAGGTGTATTTCACATCCTTGATGCCGATGTTGTTCATAGTTCTGCTCTTACAAGCATAATATTATTACTTTACTTGTAAGTGAACCTAGATAGATGTCTATATCTAGCGTACACAAGTTTGTGGATTCTCTGAACATATAGAGAAATCTGGAGACCTTGTTGAGCGTTGGGCTCACCTGCAAGTCGTACGGCAGTTATGCGATTATTGAGGCTAATCCTGAAGAGTAGTTATGGTTTGGGGTGTAGGTTTAGTGAGCCGTTATGGAAATTGATTGAATATTTGTTCAAATTCACTCATTTATTGAATGGAGCGTCGCTTACTGATCTGTCATGTTCGTTTTTGCAGTCAATTGCACGGCAGTGTCTAGAATCCCTGGAGTTCATTCATGGTTTAGGGCTAATTCACTGCGATTTGAAACCGGAAAATATCCTGGTGAAAAGTTACAGTCGGTGTGAGATCAAAGTGATTGATTTTGGGAGCAGTTGTTTCCAGACCGATCACCTATTTTCTTATGTGCAATCTCGCTCATATCGAGCCCCTGAAGTTATTGTTGGCCTTCCTTATGATCAGAAGATTGACATGTGGTCGCTCGGATGTATTCTTGCAGAACTCTGCTCAGGGAATGTAAGTAACAGTCTGGTTTGCCTATGCTATGTAGTTCCATGGAAGTATCCGAAAACTTATTCCTGTGGTGGGAGGTTTTCAGAGTTTGGTCTTTGCTGGGTGATGAGAAGCGTATGATGTAAAGTGTGGGTAGAGAGGTATTTCGTTGATGTTCAAGAAACATTCGAGTGAAGATCAGAGTTTGGTAAAAGTTACACCAGCGTGTATTCTATTTCAGCAACCATATGCACGCAGAACGTGGCTATCTAGTGAGATTTGAGATGTGGCTGTATGCAGGTACTTTTCCAAAACGATTCCCTGGCAACATTATTGGCTAGGGTGGTTGGAATTTTGGGTCCTATAGACCCGGAGCTTTTAACCAAAGGGCGTGACACTCACAAGTTTTTTACCAAGAATCATATGCTTTATGAACGGAATCAGGTGCGATGTGGTTGAATGTGCCCAGCTTAAGTTTGACTTTTCTATACGTATTTCGAGTACTTTTGAAACTCTAGTTTACAGTGCACACTCTTTCAGATATATCAGGTCCACCTTAAGCAGAATTTACACAGATGATTCCTGTGAACTTGTGGATGTGATGGTTTTGAGCTTTTTGTTTTACCTGGGTGTATTTGAAGGAATTGCGGTGTGATGTGGGGCTTTATGTCGTATATGAGTGTATTTCAGTTTTATTTAAGGTGCTTAGTTCTTAACTCCTTTATGGTGGTTGACAGGATTCTGACCAACTCGAGTACCTGCTACCAAAGAAGACATCTCTGGCCCATCGTCTACCGATGGGCGACAAGGGTTTTGTGGAGTTCGTTGAACACCTTCTCAACATCAACCCTCTTCTGCGTCCAACTGCCAGTGAGGCTTTGAAACATCCTTGGTTGTCATACCTATACGAACCAATCTCTTCTTAAGGGTAGCCAATCTGATTCTTTATCTGTTCACTTCGAGAAATTCTCCAACAAACGTAGTTACTTACTTTCTCTTGTAGCATATCATCTGAAGGACTATCCTTGGAATTTACTGGCGATAATGTTTGATATCCAAGGACCGTAAAATTGGTGGACCTCTCTATTGATCTATGTCCGGGTGGCGATTGTTACTCAGTTCAAGGTCAAGGCTTGGTCTGCAGCAGTTTCACTGAGGTTCAAAGAATCTCATTTTCCCCCACAAGCTTATTATCCTCTCTGGATTAGGTGGGACCGACTTGCGGACAACTAGGTTGGACATGTAGAAGCACCATTTACATGCTGGCGATGGAGTGCTCAAGCTGCTCTAGATTCCTGGAAACTCAGACTCGAAGCATGGGTATCGCACTGTCAATGTACAGCTAAGCAGAAGTACTTCGTCCCAAGCTTCTACTGATTCATCAAACAGGTCTTTTGCCGTAGGCAAGAGTGGCCTGTTGACAAGTCCCGATCATGTACTTTACCATATGACTCTTTTTCTCTTGAAATGAGGTAGTTTTCTCTGTGCAATACCTTAGCTTCAGAGCTTAAACACCGAAATTCAACATTACGACTTGCTACTTCACGCATATGTGACTACCTACTTAGGGGACTAGTCTTATACAGGGTCCATTTGTGGCTTCAAAAAGTTGATCTGGCATTAGCATTGTGTCATGTTTTTATCACCAGTTCTTTTGCCCATATTTTAGAATTCCTTGCAAATAATTACTTCTCATTTTGCATGATACAGAATTCTCCAAATGACACATAATCAGCATATAATGTGTAATAAAATTGCAAATATGCGGTTTACGAATCTAATATTATGACATCATTCTAACATGACCTTTTTGGATGAACAGTACTAATTCACTTCAGCTCTTATGATATCTTACAATATATGACAATAAACTATTTTAATTTATTAACTTATTTACTTATTATTATAAAAAGAATCTTTATAATGAACTAAATGATGATGTATATAGGGAGTTGAACTCTCACCCCACATTACAATGTGATGATCAATTCCATCCATCCTGGTTTCTGTCCCTTGTTCCATGTCCCCTATTCTCGTCCTTTGTTCCATGTCCTCCAAGATTAATCATCACATGGTTTGAGGGTGTGGCTTCAACAACTCCCTATGTATATGTATGTATGTATGCATGTATATATTATCAAATTTATCATAACATGATATTTATAATATTATTATTATTATTTTGGAACAAGTAAAACTACAATAACAAGCTTACTTGCTCATTTTTGTCCAAGTTTATATTGATTCAAAGTCTGAATTTTTAATTATCCAAATTAAGATAAAATATTATAAAGAAAATAAGGGTAATTACAAGAGGAATTGTGGCATCATCAAGAAGTAAACCAACCACTTCAATTTAAAACTCACTTTAATTTTAAAGTAAATACAATCAAATTCAATTTTTTTATCTAGTAACTTATATTGTTGCATGGGATGACAATCAAACATCAAATTTATATATGTATGTACATGTAATGGTCATCCTTTAATTTTTTATTTACTACTATATAATACAAAAATGTATTCATCTGATATTTAGATTGACAATTTATTTAAAGTAAATAATATGTTAAAGAATATTAACTTTCTAAAATTATTTATCTTCAAATAATTTTAACTAATTTTTCAACTCTTGATAATCATGTAGATTGTAAGTTTTTGACAATGACTTAATACTACATTGAGAAACAATGATATTATTTTTAAATAAATTAGCAATCACAAAAGTGGAACCAATCTTTCCTTCACGAGTAAAATTTGCTTGTACTGTGACGAAGAGTATCTGGTATAGAAGGTAGTAAATTATTAATCAATTACAATTATTATGATTTAGTTTTATCATTACTAAAAGTATTTGCTTTCAATTACTGTATTTTTCAGTTAATCCAGTACATGTCAAGATTTTAATGCTTCTTCATTATTTGAACGAGAGACATGTGTCTAGAATTTGTAAATACTCATCCAAAGATTATTGTAGGAGTCTTCTCATAACAAGCTAGTTCTGAGTTGTTTAACAATTAAAAAGCCTCACTGGAGACTGCAAACAATAATGAGACACTTCTTATTCGAGGCTGGAGAGAAGTGTGACCAGTTTCATGATTGAAAAACCATTGCATATTATTCAACGTATACGTGATATGTGAGATTCTTGTCCATATAATCATAAACCATCTCCTTCAGAAGCACACATTTGAAATACCCCAGTATGTTTATATCCACGGATGACATTTAAAAAAGTTCCAACACGAACATTGTTCTCTTATTATTAAGAAAAAGTTGGTGATCGGTTAGATGAGATACTAAAATGATTAAAATTCTGAATCTTTCCTCATCTGTTTCAGTGGATTACATTACCTGCAGACGGCTGGTACATACGAACTGGTTTAGGGAACTGCGTAGGTTCATAAAGCCAGAGGCCCATTAATGAGAACGGGTAGAACTTCCAATTAATAGGGCCATGAAAGGAACTTAGTTCTCGTATTCAAGAAGGGAAGTGCGCCACTTTTGGCACACAACAGCCCTGTTGTAGACAACACCATAATGCAAAATTACTACATTAATTAGCAATCTATTGAAAATCACCATCTGAAGTTAGATCTACATGACTGACTTTGGTCTCCTTGCATCCACGGCTTCGAGAGATTCTACGTGGCAATTCAACCAGAGGAGGACGATTCTTTTTGCGGCTATTTGACTTGGTTTCATTTTCCCGTTGTCTCTTCGGAGGAATGTTGGCCTTCTCCGCCTGCGTAGAATCTCCAGTATTAAGCCCATTACCATTCAGCACGTCATTCTCAACTTGATCGCTGCTGCTGTGAGCACTTCCGTCGACATTTGCCTCTTCGAGTAGATCTTTCGCGACACTGTTGCCTCCATTTGATAATATTTCACTTCCAGAAGAACAGCCCTTCTTAATCCTACCTCGCTGTCGAGATTGTACTTGGTTCTGTTGTTTCTGAAGCGCAAGAAGTACTGTCTTCAACTCCATGACATCACCACCCTGATCAGCCTGCACAAAAATGTTTAACTGCATGAGACCTTGGATGAGCTAGAACAATACTCTCTTCTACACATGCACCCATTAAAAATTAAAGGCCGCGATGAAAAAAGAGTGAGGAAATCAATAAAGCAGTTGCACACCTCCTTGCTGTAGCTGTTCACACGGATTACAAGTTTCTTTGCAAGAGGATTTTAAAACGGAAAAGACATAGCACTTACCAGCATACCACGGAGTAGATCTTCAGAATAATCAGGAAAAGCCTGACAAAGTGCAGACAGGGCAGGATCTCCGGTGTCGTTTGATTCCGCAATGTTTTCAGGTGTGTCATTCGAAGGAACTGAAGGATGCTCAGGTGTAAACACCTTGGGTTCAGAGTGACACTCTTCAACATTGGCAACGATGGGCAAGGCCAATTCCACTGTAGCTGTTTTCGTTTCCTCTTGCGCCTCAGCTTCTGTTGAGTCATCATCCTCTACAAACAATTCGAGCGTTTCAACACAGTACACTTCTCTTCATGACTGCAACAGAAAATGACACTCAGGAGTTCAGACTAAATGAACCTGGTATGGAACCTTCACCTCCATCGTCATCCTCAACTGCATCGTTTCCTTGCTCATCCTTCGCACTACTCTGGAGGGTCAGTATTATCTCTTCCATCTGCCTATTGATCTGATTCAAAACAATTCCGGATAATCTGAGTGCCACGAATTTTTAGTGAAGATGAGGATTTACCGGGCAATACTAAATTTCACGTGACTTCTAAATTGAAGGTGCATTAGTACAGGTCAGAGACGATACAGATGCATACAATAAGAAAGATTGTGGGAATCTATACCTGGGGCGAAACGAGGAAGTCAGTAATATCTGCCTTACAATTGGGACAACGCTTAACTATTTTCTGCGTTCTAAGACTGCGACCTGAAACACCCTTTCGCTCTCGCGAAGTATCCTGACCAGCAAACACAGAATCCAAGCACCCCTTGCAAAAATTGTGCCCACAAGGCACGGAGACTGGCTGATTGAGTACTTTCCGACAAGCATTGCAACCGAATTCTGCAGGTCCATCACAATGACCTCTGTGAGATACTGCCCAGGTAATGGCTGCATGTTGCACACTGCGGTAACGTGGACTAGATGTTCTAATCGAGGACTTTCGTTTGCGGAAGTCCAAGGCCAGAGACAACAGGTTTTCCACTGACATCACGCGCACGAGCTGCGATATGAAGAATCGAGGATTAAACTGTATTTTTTTCTTTTTTTCTTTTTTTCTTTTGGCTTTTTCATTCACGATCAGAGGGACCAATAATTGTAAAGCTCATAAAATTGTTACCTTTTAGTAGCCGTTGCTGAACACTGAGCTGTTTCCGTTTCTGGGTTGCCTCGCTTGGTCCACTGCCCGAGGTCTTCTTGCTTGCCGGAGGTTCCCGGGACCATCCCCATCCTACCCCTTCCTTTAATGCAACACATCTCTCATGTCAGGTCCGTACAGGACACATCAAAGGACGATTAAGGTGAGCATCCGTGTGCCACCAAACTATTTGGCACAGCATAAATGCACGACGTAATAAGATTTTCGAGATGAAGAGATTTACGAGTGGCTCCCATATAAGCTATCTCAGAAATAGTCATTGTCATAACATACGTAAACTATGCAGTATATAGCAACACAAGTACGAGGTTGGCAGAATACCGTATAAGCCCAGGCAGGTGACGATTTTCTTTCAAAGACATCAGTTGCCGATCTTAGCTCTTCAACGACAGGAAGAGGCCTGGGACGATCTCCATGCTCATCACTAGACAAATGTAGTTCACGTTAGAACAACCTCTTCCGCAAGCGTGAACCGTACTGAATCAATTTGACATGAAATACTTTTGCAAAATTACTCATAAATTGGCTACATATCCAATCAAGAGATATCATGAAATTTCCAACTGAGGAGAGAGAGAAAGTCACTCACCAACCAAGTTCTCAAATCCAACACATTCAGTAATAGTGGAGAAATTCAATTGAAGTGAAGTATCATAAAGCCTGCTTCCGAAATAGAACATAGACTTTCGATAGAATACTAAGGACGTTCCCATACAGAAAAACCTAATACAGAATTCTGATAGTACCCTGAGCATACCTCAACAGTACTAGACAAATGAAGTATGAGATAGTTGCAAGAACCTTGTCCAAGGTGCGGGCTCGTTGTCACAGCGGACAAACAGATAACGACACACCTTGTGACCCTGCTTAATCACAAACATATATCAGAGTCAATCACGGACGCAGTCTAGCTCATCGAGAAAAGCTTCAATTACCATTATACTACACTAAAGAAATTTATCGTCATGTAACGTCGAACTTACCTGAATTCCCTTTTTACGCCAGCACTTCTCGATCCTGTACACACCATCGTATCTTACACCTGCATCTGGAGCATAAGCGGACCTTTTCTCTTTATGAGACCTGCACAGTAAGCAGGAGCATTGTAAACCAGTATTCCAAAAAACTACATGATCAAGCTCGGCGTGGAATTGACTCCATGCATTCACGACATACAATGGTTACTTAAAACCATCCATGCAATCCCATGAAGCTGGAACTCCACATTACAAATTTGGAAGGCAGAGCAGTTCAACGAACGCGTTCGTGTCGACGGGAAAGAGACATAGATCCTGAATGCAAGTAACTGCTACGACCGTGAAGCATACCTCACAACGCGTACAGGGAAACCATGTTTGCAACTAACTCGTAATGCTTCGTTCATCTTGTCGAATTTCTGATCAAACGATTGTTCTTTATTGGTGCGCTTGTTCCCACTCAAATCCCTCCCACCGCTACAATCACATCACCGTAATTAGTGTACGCACCAAAATGATGGCTCACATACAAACAGTGCCAAAGCAAAGTCTCAGTGCAAACACCAAATAACCGGCCGTGCTAACCACACCTGCCTGTATACAAGAACCACTCGCCGTGATCTTCGTCATCTTCGTAACCGCCAGAAAGTGCAACAGACTGCGACCCATAATCAGACTGCCCCGCAATGCCGGCAACATGAGGTAGATGTGCACCCCACTGCCTGCACTCCATGCGATCCTCCCAGCATTCCCCGACTAAAACTCCTTGACCTCGAGTAGGGTCATGTTCAGCTGTGATAGGCCCAAAATGATCAGGTGCAATAGTGACGAATATTTTACCACTGCAAGCGTTAGCTTTCCCAGTCTTTACCGCTCGGCTGGTCGTAAAGCACTTGTCTGGTCTGCTGTCGTTATCACGGTATGTGTAAGTTTTTGGTGGACCGCCATTACTATTTCCGACTGACCTGGCCATACGAATGGCCATAACTAAAGCAGAATTAATGCGAGGATTGCTTGCCATTTTAGCAGGAATCGCACTTCGACATTTTCCGCACGTCTTTTTACCTTGCCCGACCCATCTCTGAAAGCATTTTAAGCAAAAATTGTGACCACAAGGTGTCTGCAATCACAGGTGACTCTCCACTCATCAGGAAAATGCTATATTTCCGAATGTAAAATATTTACAAGGAGAAGAATGTGAGACATGGAACGCAAAAACCATCAATGGGCACTGTGCTTTAAAATCAAGAATACGCCAAATCAGGTTCTCAGTTCGAAAGAACAATTTCCATAGATGCAGAAATTCCCGCAGAATTTGGCATTCCTGATAACTTGATGAACGAGATGAATACTTCTGTAGTTACAAACCAAATCCACTGCTTCCCCGACTATCTACACAAAAGCTTAAGAAATGTTGGTAGACTAAGTAAAGATACGTATTAAGCGCTCTCTGCATGCAACTAGCACGGCTGTTACTGGCTTTACCAGCAACCGAAACTGATCCAATGTGCAGTAGACATTACTCCAACCGCCACGTTAACGTTTCTCTCCAGAGCGTAGGCACTTTAAAAGACTAGAGATCTAGGACCGAATGTATGCTCCAATGAGAGAGAATCAAGAACGTGTCTGACCATGCAAAGGACATAGTGAACAAACTTCCACGCAGAATTAGGACTGCATAAATTAACAGCGATGATTACTGACAGTGATCCGCCAAGCCAGGACTCACATCATCTAAAAGCCATGATTTCTCGAGAACTGGAAAGAGATCACCGTCTTTGTCACATAAAAATCTAGAAAGGCTAAGTGAACTTGCAGATCCGTTGAACACACAACCAGACACTGTCCTTTTAGAAGTAGTGTGGGTACATGCCTAGGTGACACGCCTAGGATTAAAAAACGGCAAAGAATGACGGCAAAATGTATGAGTAAGGACTTACAGTTACTGGTCTTTCAGCAAGCTGCATGCAGAAAATACAATTCAGGCTATTATCCATCATTTCTAACGTCGCGTTCCGCTTTTTCCCGTCAGCACTTTTCTTATCAACATTCAAGGAAGACAACTTGGCAGAACTTTCATCGTTCAACCCTTTGCTCATGAGCTCCTGCCGTCTTTTTGCTTTCTCAGCTTCAGAGAGAGTTGAGTCAGCTTGAATCGCACGAATCTTGTTCACTAAACAGGCCTCGGGTACGGAGTTAACGACTGCCGAAGGTGTGGCGATAGTGGGTGGAAGCGAACAGTCAGGACAATCCCAGTCGCCAAGAGGCACAAATTCCATGGGAGGATTCAGACATCGCATATGCCACGGACTAGCACAACTACCGCACATTATCGCATCGCTGTCAGGTGGCACGATTTTGCATACCATGCATTTTCCGTCTGCATCACACGGTAGGTCCGTCATTGTCGCTAACCTCGACTGTCCCAGCAAATGGTACCAATCCACCGGCAGGTGCGTCAAAAGACGGCCGCGGCAATCATCTTAGTATGATGAACCGACGTGCACACACTTCAATCCAACTCGACAAGTCACTCTCTAGATTTAACCGTAAGAAATTTCTTGCAACTTTTAACTTAAACCTCTACCGTTAACGAAACTAAAAATTCCACTCGGCAATCGCAAGATTAGTTCAAAGCTCCAATTTCCTCACGCCAACAAAAAATAATAAAAAACAAAAAATAAAAATTCGCTCATTCTTTCCTATTCCCCGAATTCAGAAACAAACAAGAACATATTGGAATGTCTCCACAACTCTCCATCTCTCTCTCTCTCTCTCTCTCTCTCTCCACCCCTCCTAGTCAGGGATTTAAAATGTATGTTTCATCTATTAGCACATAGCGCCCCGCCAACCGTACTCCCAAGCTTTCTTTGCACTTCTACGCTCAGTCTGCTTATACTACCCCCACGCTCCCCAGACTCTACCAACTGCCAACAGAGTACTCCGAAATTCTCCTCTGCTTCTCTCCACACAGAATCTCCACCTTCAATCCTCCCCTCTCCTCCAAACAAATACTCACAACCAAACTACTCTCCGCAACCCGCCATCTCCACCAGCAAGAGCGGATAGCGAGTCAAATCGACCCGAAGTGGAGAACGCATGAGGAACATTGGCATTCCAAATGGGACTTCGTACCCCTAGGCTGACAAATCCTAGTGAGGCAACGGCACAGGGAGGGAGGGATGAAGGGCGTGGAGAATAATAAGGAAAGGAGGCGGGGTAGAGATCCGAGGTAGGAGCCAGAGCCGAAGCGTGATCGATCGAAGCCCCGCCTCGCTCGCCGACTACCGAGTCCCCCGCCCTCTTCCTTCCTTCATCGCCCTCGGCCTCCCTGGACAACGGAGCTCGTCCCAACGCTCCTTTCCTCCGTATCGTTCCCTTCCCTACGTTTCATTCCCCGGGCCTGCTTGGCCCCTTCTCCTCAACCGCGCGGTTCCCCGCGAGAGGCTCGCTTCCCCGTCCCGGGCGCCGACTATGCTTACGTGGCGATCACCTATTCGCTTCCTGCTCCTCCTTTTTGAAGGCCCTGGTGGGCGGGAAGTCGAATCGCCCTCTTTCGCGTTCGTTCCATCTTCGTTCATCCCGCACTACCGCACCTTTCTTTCATCCATCCGCATTCTTTTTCGCGTCCCTAGTTGTCAGCGAATAGAATTCATGAGTAGGATTTGAAATTGAGAATGGAGGACAGACAGGCTGGGGTAGTAGTAACTAAAAGTAGTGGGTGCCTTTTCTGTGACCGACTCAGCCGGTCATACCCCTCTATTCTTCATCGTGTGCAAACGGCGGCAGTTTAAATTTCTCTTAGGAGATAATCCTTCTTGGTCGGGTAATCAAACGGTCTCCTGTTTTGGCATTCATATTTCCTCCATGTGTGCTGGAATAGCCTTTGTTATTTATAGTGATTAAAAGTTACTTTATACACCACTTGACTCTTGACATGAAGCTTGTTCATTGGGTGGTTTCCCAAGTCAACTATTCCAAAGCATCTATTATATTTTAATTGAATAAAATTAAAAACACTAAGTATTGTCTTTGTCCATAGCATTCTCCAGTGGATCCTCTCATCACTCTATTACATTATCATTTGTCCATCACAGCATAAGTCCCCTTACAATGATTCCCCTTTCCAACATTTTCTTTTTCACTTTGAATGACTTATTACACCTTTTGTTGGCATGTTCACATCATGTTTCCTTGCACAAGATGTTCGGCATAGTTACTACCCCCTTGACATCTCCAATCTCAATCTCAAGCTCAATTGTTGAGTCACTCTCCTCACCACCTTGGGAAACAAGGCCGTAACTCTAAACTTGGATACTGCTCATTCTTGAGGGTTTTTTTTTTTAAGTTTGAATTCAACATTGAGTACATGTGTGAGGCCATAGTTTCTGAGGAGTGGGAGTAGAGAATAACTATCATCTTATCAAATTATAAATAGAAGAGTTGCATGGAGTGGAAGCAACCCTGGGTGTGTCTTGTATGCGGGCACCCAAGAACCTATCACTGAAAGGTCAATTACATTTATTTGAAGAAAACTCCCTTTTTTTTCTTTGTTTGCCACTACCCAACAAGGAGAACTTGTTCCATACAGCATCCATATATTAAAAGTGTCTTCATACTAAAGGTCTGGTCAGCCATGCTCATAGCACAACAACAATGATCATGGCTTACATATATTGGCCACCCTATCACACAACCCTGGTGATAAACAAAATTCCCAATTTAAAGTAGGTAATGACACATACTGATTGTATAATGACCTTAATAATTGCTTACAATGTGTGTGTGTGTGTATATATATATATATATATATATATATATAAATAAAAATAAAATAAATGAACAAAATTGACACTGGAAGAAATCTTCTCTCTGCTACAGTTGTTAACACAGTGGAGGGAGGGAGGGTGTGTGTGTGTGTGTTGCCAAGCATGTTGGCAGGCAGTCAAGTAATAGTCAAATATTGTTTGGCCAGTATCAAAATCTATTGACCAGCCAGCAGATACAAAAAGATTGTATCAGTCACTCCAGAATTGTCATCACTGTCTCTTCACACATATGCACTATCACCCCTATAGATATATATATATATATATATATGTAAAGTCTGATGTGAATTGATCATATTCTCACTCACCAATCAGTACATCCTGAGAAAAATCAGTTTACGCATAATATTAAGGACAGGTGCTCATGTGTATGCACTGCCCCAACCAACTTGGAGTTCAAGCCATCTGCACACCCAATCAATTTAAGAGGATAACAACCTTAACTGGGCTTTCCACATGTAGTCCTTGTTGGTTTATTATCACAGGCAGGTGTGAAGATTAATTCTTCCAGGGCTTGAATCTACAGTAAATTGGATCTTGACCACAAGGACACATGACATAAAACACATTGCAGCCATACCTGGAAATTGTAGAGCAACATGGTTGACGTAACAATTGGAAATATTTTGTCCCACAAATATTCAAACTGTAGCTGAAACATTCATGGGATGAGAATCTCAAAGATGAACAATTATTGAAAGTCTTTTGAGTGACAAAGACTGTCTTCAAACCATCACATTCTCAAGATACAGAATTGTTTATGACTTTTAGTCTGAGATCACTGGAAGCCCTAACCCTAAACCATGTTACACTAAATTGTATATGCTCAGAGAGCAGCAGTTAAAGAGGGGAATCGGCAGGGAATCCTATGAATAGACAGGAAGCAGAATGAATTTATGGGGGAGAATTGCTTTGGCTGCTGAGGGCAATGGCCTCACAGCATTGGGTTGGTAATAAACTCCACATTCTGCTCGAAGGCTGCTCATTAAATGCTACTCCCCTCCTCCATTGCTTGTGCCACCCTGTCCCACTTCTTCTCATTGGGGAATGAGAGAGAACAGTTTGCCATGTGCACTAACATGTGTGGGAACCATTTTAATCCAGAAGATGAAGAAAATATTATAGATTTCATTGGGTGGAGGACCATTTAGATGGTTGTTGTTGGGTACCATTCAAAGTGCAGTATTGTGAATGCTTTTGGAACAACAATCCTGTCTCACTCTCTCCATACAAAACTATGGCATTTATGCAAAATTACATGCTCAAAACCTTAGCTGTCTGTAAGTGTCTTATTTTATTGCTGTTCATTGTTTGTGATAATCTGGATTAAAGATACATTCCTCTTGATTATTTGATTCCATACTTATTTTCACTTGATGTAAGGGCTTTTGAGAAAATGCTATGATGTGTTTTTTCATGAAAAAGTAGCATGTTCATAAAACTTTTAACTTATCTTTCTTAATATCAATGTTATCCTACATTACAGTGTTTTTGGTTCATACATATATATATATATACATACCCATATTGATAGATGTCAAAGTTGGTTGCTAGATTTTATTGCAATCATGTTTAGTGAAACAAACATGTAACTTTTTTTCATAAATTCTTAAACATGAAAGATATAACATAGAAGTAAGTTTTGCATATGACATAGGATTTCATATTAAAGAATGATATGATTTAAAACAATACAATATATACATTGTTCTCTAGCTGTTTTTCTATAAATATGCTTGCATGTATACTTGCACATAGAAAGAAAATTCTTTTGAGAATACACGGTTATATCTAATAGGATTTGTAACTAGTTATTTTAGTTATGTACATACATCATTAACTTCAAACAAAATAGGGGTATCTCAATTTCTAAATTAAAAATAATGTTTATTTTTTTACAATTATTTAATTATATATTGAATGTACTTATTTGATTTCAATATTCTATATGCATGTCTAAGTGTGTGTGTGTATATATATATATATATATATATATATATATATAATTGACCTTAACTTTTACTAAATTGATTTATTTGTCAAAACCATCATTATACTCTTTCAACCTTCCATCTCTATTTCATTGGTTTCCAATCTCATTTCTCTTATTCCTAGCTCTTATCCATATTCCCTTCATTTCAAGCCCCTTGTATCTTGTCTCTATTCTAAGCTTTCTTCCCTCATCTTTGTTGTTGTATTATAATATAATTATTAGGTAAAAAAGAAAATAAATGATTATATTATAGATAAGCTTAATTGAAAATATTGTAGAAAATTATCTTAGAAGTATAGATAATAGTCAAGGAGATAGTAAAACTAATAAGTATTAATGTTGCTTCTTTGCAAAATAGGCTTCTATTTGCTTTGTATAGCCATAAATGAGATTTTATTTTTTATTTTTTTATTTATGCATATTTAAAAAAGAATTAAGTATAGATTTTAGTAAAAAATATTTTAACAAATAAAAAATTCATACTTTAAGAGAATTGGTTCTAAATTAGAGTTGAAATTAGATCTTTAGATACAAAACTATGCATTCACAACAATTTTGGGATTTTTAGATTGATCAAAGAGCGAGATTTGAGAGCAAACTAAAAAAAAATTTTGGGCATCAACTTTGAGTGATTTGAGTTTGTAATAACTTTGTAAAGGCTTTGCAAAGTTAGAATTATTTTGGAGTGACTTTGGAATTTTGAAAAATATAAAGAGATTATACTTTAGAGATTTTTGTGTAATTGGTAAATGATGTATGGATGACTTTTTTTTTGATTGTGTAATTGGAATTTTATTTTATGTATGTTGAAATTTTGAACTTAATCAAATGATTTATTTAAAGAATATTAAAATTCAAAGATATTATGGTCTCAAATATTGGCATTTAAAGGACCATGAAAGGTTTCTAAAATTAATATTTATCCATTGGTTGATTCTTTTTTTTTTATTATTATTATTTTAATATTATTAGATTTAATTTATAATAATTGTACAAAATTTGAGAGCCATTGCCTTATGAAATTAGGAGATATTGACATTGGAAGATTGGCATCAAGGTTGAAGAAGGACATTGATCAACACCTAAGTAGATGTTTTATTTATTGTAGATTACTTGTTACTAAATCTTGTAGGTGACTTATGAACCATTGAAGAACTTTATTTCTGTGTCCTCAGCAAAAAATAAAAAATTATATTTTATTATAATTTTTTTTTCTTTAAATAATTCAAATTTGCTGCAACCAAAATCCTAGATTATTTTTGATTGAAATAATGTAAAGGATGTAGAATAAATAGCTTGTACACAAGATGAATGATTAATTAAATTATTGATTACTAGCTTCTTATTGTAGGTGGGGGATTAAGATGAAGAAGGGATGATGGAAAGAGAGACAAGGGACTTAAAACAAAGAAGAAGGTTATGAATGGGATGAATAAGGATGGATGACAAAAGGAGGGTGTAATGATGGTTTTGATAGGTGGGTCAATTTAGTAAAAGTTGGAAATAATTTAATATTTCATTAGATATACATATATATATAT